GAACTACCACTGCTCAGAGTGCGGTAAGAACTTCGGCCAGCTGAGCAACCTCCAGACGCATCAGCGCATTCACACCGGAGAGAGACCGTACCAGTGCTCGGAGTGCGGGAAGGGCTTCACGACGCAGAGCCACCTCCAGGCGCACCAGCGCATCCACACTGGAGAGAAGCCGTATCAGTGCTCGGAGTGCGGGAAGAGTTTCAACCAGCAGAGGAGCTTCAAAGTGCACCAGCGCATCCACACCGGAGAGAAGCCGTACGACTGCTCGGTGTGCGGCCGGAGCTTCAGAGAACGGGGCACCCTCATAAAGCACGAGCGCGTCCACACCGGAGAGAAGCCGTACATCTGCTCGGAATGCGGGATGGGTTTCAATCAGCAGACCACTTTCCAGGTGCACCGGCGCATCCACACGGGAGAGAAGCCCTTCGACTGCCTGGTTTGCGGGAGGAGTTTCCGAGAAAGAGGCACGCTCAGAAAACACGAGCGCGTCCACACCGGGGAGAAGCCGTACTTCTGCACCGTGTGTGGGAAGAGTTTCAGTCTGCAGAGCAGCCTGCAGAGACACCAGCGCGTCCACACGGGAGAGAAGCCGTATTACTGCGCGTACTGCGGGAAGAGCTTCAAACAGTACAGCAACCTACAGCTGCATCTGCACAGCCACACCGGAGAGAAGCCGTACAGCTGTTCGGAGTGCGGGAAGAGTTTTACTCTACAGAGTAGCCTCCACAGACACCAGCGCGGTCACACAGGAGAGGAACCCTGTGACTGATCGTGCTGTCGGGGAAAAACCCTGGCAAAAAAACTGATTTTTACACGATTAATTCTGTTTTGGACGCCTTAATGCGGCTATATTGATTGGTATTTGTGTCGTACTTGTTACCACAGCACTAATCTTGCATCTCTTCCATTGAAAACATGACCCTAAACCCATAATTGGGTTACTTATACCACTAATCTTCAACCTTTGCGTTCACACATGGAGCACTTAAACTGTTTTTTACGCGTTCATACATGCTTTGAAAATCCTACTAAACAGGACGACGGTCTCAGCATGAACGGCCAACGGCTCCGTTATTTCCGAATCGTATGAACATAAACTCTCATGACTTGTTTCTCTCAAAAACTGATAACGCTACTGTAAAAACCGGCCTTGCCGGACAATCTGCATCGCTTTTGCAGAACTAAACTGAAAATTTTAACTGTAAAGGAAAGACGTCACAGAAACGGCTAGAACATCTTTTTATTTCCCAGTAATGCTTGCCTTCTGTTCGCACACGTGCGGCCCCGGTAATTTCCGAAATTAGGTCACAATTATTACAGGATCTCCTCAGTGCAATTATTTAAGCTGAAATTATTATATTAATCGCATATTGTTAGCTTTCACACTGTCACAGTTATGTTTATGTTGTAGCAAACAGAGTAAATTAGCTGCGTTTTTCGGTGGCGTGTAAATAAAATAATGCAGAAAACATTCTAACTTCTGACTGGTGCTGTAACACCTTTAGAGGGCAGCAGTGAGTAATGGTTGCGCTCAAATAAACAAGCTGTTTCTGGTTAATTTCGAGTTACTAAGGCTGCGTTCACACAGCAGGTAAAAGTGGCCCAAATCTGATTTTCTCACCAAATCTGATGTTTTTGTTTGGCTGTTCAGATTATCTTTTAAATGTGATCTGTATGCGACATCAGTCTGAACAGATCAGCTCCTAAACTGACCCACAGAGCAAAAGAACAGAGCGTCACGCTGCTTCACGGCTCATTTTAACTGTTCTTTGACGCTGCAGCCTCGTTCTCCTGCAGCCGCGTTCGGACATTTCTTTCAAAATCTCTTTTTGCGATGAGTCTTTTTTGGTACAGAAACATCAGCCTAAATGTTTCTGAGTCTCAGCAGCGCGAAATGATGACGAATGTCGAGTTGGATTGACGTAAAAGTCGCATGAATTCCGATCTGGCTGTTCAGACTGAGTTGCATTGCCACAGATCGGATACGTATCGGATTTCAGTACCACATATGAAAGCGTCTCAAATCAGAATTGAAATTGTCAGATTCAGTGTGTTTATCTGTTCACACTGACACACAGACACACATCTGTGTCACACATGAAGAAACAGATCGGATTTGGGCCACTTTTACCTGCTGTGTGAACACAGCCTAAGTATCCACAGCTTGTTAGTCAAGATGGCCAATTGGGCCATTTTAGACTTGTGCTTTAATAAAATGTAATTGTCTTTTAAGTAAAGACATTTAAGTTGCGTAATTATTTATATGGCAGTTAATCGTCTTCTAAAGTTTCGTGATCGTGACCGGCCCATCGCGGGTCTTCTGCAGATAAATTGCCTTGTTGTTCACCCTCCTGTAGAATTTCTGTTCTGTCCGCTCCTTATCCTCATAATTCAGACGATCCGGTGACGCTTGGAGGAAAAATGTTTTCATTTTAATTTTTTTTAGACGTATCCAATTCCACTTCAGACACCTACACTGACTAGCATCACGCTGGGTGATGATGGGAGATGGGGGGCCATCCTACCCACCCAGAAAGAGCGAGGGCCACCGTGCCACGGATGGCTGTAGCATCACCGGGGATTAGACTCGCGATCTCCTGATGACCGGGCCAGTGATTAGACAGTAACGCCACTTGGGAGCCCAATCTGCCTTGGAATATCTTTGTTTACCACAGAGTGCGACAGTCGCAATGTCCAAAAAAACACTTTTCATTTTAATCAGAGAGAAAACCAGCTCAGTTCCCAATATGGGCATGAAGCAGACACACTGGCTGTGTTTACATGCAAAGACTTTTGCCAATCCGATTGAATACATTCCGATTATAGATTAAGACTGAGGTGTTTATTCTCACTCTGCTCAACAATCTGATGAAAATTCTTCATTTATTTTCTCACTACAAGTAATCCGATCCAAAATTATGCGCATGCGTAGAGAACCACTTAGTGTAGACGTTACCATGACAACCAGCATCACGTGAGTCCAGTCAGAGTGAGATGAGCAGCAGTGAGCAGTGCTTGTGTTTTTAATTCCTTTAAAATGATGTCAGACTCAGGAAAACGTCCTTCACATGTCCTTATTAAAGAAGGCCGAGAGGAAGACGTCGTGTTCTGAGACACATAAGCTGGACGTCCGTCCCACCGCCGTCTTTTAAAGATCAGAGCATAAACTTCGTCTCCTCTGCAGACCAGTTTCTGCTCCGCCATGTTGAACGGTATAAATTCTCACTATGACGCGACGAACATGATCAGAACAGACTTAAACTTTCCGATAGGGAATGTAATCAGATACAGGCGTTTACACGGATATTATTCTTCTATTTAACAGATTATTTACAGGATTACCCACCTCGATCAATCAGGTAGAGACTGTACTCCAAATGGCCTCAGTCAGACTAGACTATTCCGATTGAGGCGTCTACATGGACGTATTCTATTCTTATTGAGCTATTAGTCGCATTATTAACGGATTATTAGGCTGCATGTAAACGTGGCTCATGATGACACAAGTTTGTAGGTCTGTTGCTGCGTTCACGCGTTTCCCTTGAATGAAAACATCATTCTACACCCCATAGATCGTGACCGACGACATCGTGGGTGGAAAACGGATGATCGTGAGGAGAGCTTTAGCAGTGTGTAACATTTATTTAAGGTGGAGAACGTCATGGGGACGCTCTGTACTCTTATTTGTGTTGTATAATACTGGGCTTAAGATGTTTACTAAGCTAGAAGCTAAGATAGCACTTGTTCCCCAACCAGCACCATGCTAGCTGGCTAAAATGTTAGCTTCAGCTAAGCTAGCAGGCTAACAGCCTTGTAAGATATGTTATAGATTGCCTTGTAGTTTAGAGGATAGAGTTTAACGATGTAGTCTAAAGGATTAAGACTCAGATATGAGTAAGCAAAGCCGAGTGACTGGTATTCAAGTAGAACTGGACAATATGACGATATTTATTGATATAACACGTCACAATACATCACAGTATACTTTTCTGAGCGTATCATGTATTTCATCAGTACTTAAAAGCACTGACCAACTGCGTCTGTGATTACAGAGGTCAGTTAGTCCTGTTTAATTGGATTCAGTGCAGCTCAGTGAAAGATTAATCGTTTATATATCGAAAGCACGATTTAAGGCGAATTTTCAAATCGCAAAAGCTGCAATTTTCTTTAATTATAGCCGACACTCTTAAAATGTAGCTCTTCAAGGTTCTTAAAAAGATGGTTCTTTAGTAAAGAGAGTGATTTCATATAGAACCATGAATACTCAGATCCGTTTGCATGCATAAAAAGTTCTTTGCTTGGTTGAAAAGGTTCTTCAGATTGGAGAATGTGTTGTATGTGGTTCTGTGCAGCATCAAAAAGGGTTCTGGTACTGTTACTTTGTTGCTTGTTGATGTCAAGCTTGTAACAATAGAAGAACATTTTGGTCCTACAGAGAACTCTTTTCAAAAAGGTTCTATATAGAACCATGTGCAACACATTCTCCATCACTCTGAAGAACCATTTTACCATGCAGAGAACCATTTGAGCATGCAAAAGGTTCTCTGAGTGTTCATGGTTCTACATAGAACCACTGTCTTTACCAAAGAACGCTTGAAGAGCCGTTTTTATTCAGGGTGAGCATCAGCAAAAACGTTTTAGGTTTTAAGAGGGGAAACGGAACCTGGTAAGAGTTTGGGAAATGCCTGTAGGTGAGTTAGACCAATCAGAGGCAACCAAACTTCCATGGGTTGTGACATCACAACCACAGCTTACTGGCAGTTTGACACACTATGTTCAGGGGTCGAGCCTCAAGACAAAAAAGGTGGATGTTCTGGTCTTCTTGGCCAAAATAAATCAGGCCTGAATCATTGTAAAAAAAAATCGCAATTTAAATCGCATTCGCAATATTAGTCGAAAAAACGCAATTAGATATTTTCCACAAATCGTTCAGCTCTCAGTGTATGAAATGTTGAACAATAGTCAGTGTATTCATAGTTTTTGATAGCATCTTTAAAATTTAGCACTGCTTTGTCTGCTCTAAGTTATCAAGTATCAGAAAAAATATATATTGTGACATACACTATATTGATAAAGTATTCGCTCGTCTGCCTTCACACGCATATGAACTTGAGTGGCATCCCATTCTTGATCCATAGGGTTTAATATGATGTCGGCCCACCCTTTGCAGCTATAACAGCTTCAGCTCTTCTGGGAAGGCTTTCCACAAGGTTTAGGAGTGATTATGGGAATTTCTGACCATTCTTCCAGAAGCGCATTTGTGAGGTCAGACACTGATGTTGGATGAGAAGCCCTGGCTCACAGTCTCCAGCCTAGTTCATCACAAAGGTGTTCTGTCGGGTTGAGGTCAGGACTCTGTGCAGGCCAGTCAAGTTCTTCCACACCAAACTCGCTCATTCATGTCTTTATGTTCCAACATGACTGTGCACCACTGCACTGGTGCGCAGTCATGTTGGAACAGAAAGGGGCCGTCCCCAAACTGTTCCCACAAAGTTGGGAGCATGAAACTGTCCAAAATCTCTTGGTGCTGAAGCATTAAGAGTTCCTTTCACTGGAACTAAGGGGCCGAGCCCAACTCCTGAAAAACAACGCCACACCATAATCGCCCCCCCACCAAACTTTACACTCGGCACAATGCAGTCAGACAAGTACCGTCTCCTGGCAACCCCCAAACCCAGACTCGTCCATCGGATTGGCAGACGGAGAAGCGTGATTGGTCACTCCAGAGAACACGTCTCCACTGCTCCAGAGTCCAGTGGCGGCGCTTTACACCACTGCATTCGACACTTTTGTATTGCGCTTGGTGATGTAAGGCTTGGATGCAGCTGCTCGGCCATGGAAACCCATTCCATGAAGCTCTCTACGCTGTTCTTGAGTTGATCTGAAGGCCACATGAAGTTTGGAGGTCTGTAGCGATTAACTCTGCAGAAAGTTGGTGACCTCTGCGCACTATGCGCCTCAGCATCCGCTGACCCCGCTCTGTCATTTTACGTGGCCGACCACTTCGTGGCTGAGTTGCTGTCGTTCCCAATCGCTTCCACTTTGTTATAATCCCACTGACAGTTGACTGTGGAATATTTAGTAGTGAGGAAATTTCACGACTGGACTTGTTGCACAGGTGGCGTCCTATCACGGTACCACGCTGGAGTTCACTGAGCTCCTGAGAGCGACACATTCTTTCACTAATGTCTGTAGAAGCAGTCTGCAGGCCTAGGTGCCTGGCTTTATACACCTGTGATCATGGAAGTGATTGGAACACCTGAGTTCAATGACTTGGATGGGTGAGTGAATACTTTTGGCAATATAGTGTATCATGTATCGTGAAAACTTCTCAGAGTATCATGATATTGCATTTTTGCCATATCGCCCAGCTCTTTGTAACGAAAAGACAGAATCTAGTCTGTTCTGTAGTGTGTGGTGAGCTGTTAGCCTGCTAGCGAAGCTAACCCCGCCAGCTTTACTCCACTATGCTAGTTAGCACTTAGCATTTAGCTGTAGTTGTTAGATTGATGCTTTAATGGTAACATTTGAGTGATTTGTTGAAAATCTACTGGTTAATAATGATTATTAGTGGGAGTTAATGCTTCAGTTGTTCTGCTTTGCCTCTTACTGTGTTGTAGATGGATTTCTAGACGGATTCAGGAAAAAAGTCGCTGAAACAAGCAACAACGAA